AAGGTTCACGTCTTGGACCACTGTTGTATCTCTTGTACACATATGTCTAAGGAGGTCAAATTATCTCAAATTCATTCATATGCTGATGACACCCAGCTGTTACACACACTAAACTCAATTAGTTGTGATAAAGTCGAAGCTAATTTTTGATCTTAATCGATAGATCAATAGAGTGAAAAACACAATCTGAAGTTCAATTCCAAAAATACACAAATTATGCTATTTGCTCCCGCTGGAACTTATAATTTTTTGTGTGGTCATATTTAAATTAAATTGGAAAATGAAGATCTTAAATTTACAAATGAAGCCAAAAATTTAGGAGTGATAATGGATTGTCAATTGAGATATAGTGGCCACATTTATAATTTATGTATGTAAATATTCCTCAAAACGCTATATGCAAAATTGTCCGTAATCTTGCGCAATAATTTGAAATATCTCAATAAAAACTATTATAATTATTATTATTGGTATTACAATTCCTCTAATTCCCTGATTGTAATTGAATGTTAATGCAATATTGTCAACTTATTGGAAAAAACTAGACGTTTCCAAAAAAATCATGTTGTCCTGTAAAGTCCGATATGTTTTAATCTGCTACAGCTATAATTTCAAATGTCAAATCTATTACTAAGAGTTCAGTAAAATGCGTAAGTAATTATTTAATATGATTTCTAAATGACACACCATGTACTTTGCGGTGGACTATTGCTCTTGTGCAATTTTTGTTATATCTATAAATTTAAGTTTTTTCTTAGTATTCATTTTTTTAAGTCAGCAGCGGCCAAGTTTGAAAAACGAAAAATTTAAATATAAATAAAATTTCGATAGAAAATACTTTCAGTGCGCACGAACTTATGATATAACTTATTTTACTTGATTTGAATTTTTTCTTCTTTTTGCTGTTTCGGCATTGGACGAGGGGTAAACCACCTGTTCAATAAAATTCTAAAATGTCAAACGCACGAAAATTTCCATAAAAAGTATATATCTGATCCATTTCAGCAACATCTTTTGGGAAAATAAAGTGATTTATCTTTCTGTCCAAGAAGCTTATATGCTAAGACACAGCTGGATATTTTTTCTCTCGTCGTTTTCGGTAATTTTCCTGGGCTTTTTTTCACGCATGGCTATCAAAATAAAGATATTTCAGCTAATTGTTTTTGCTTATACCTACATAAAATGTGAAAAAAAGATCCCCTAGATCTTGTAAATTCTCGAAAATTCAATACATAAATTGTAAAAATTAAAAAAGTGCCAAAAATTCTAAATAATTTTAGAGTAATTCTAAACTTGTCAACTTGTACACTAAAATTCTAGGCGGCCCTTAACTCCGTGTTTTCCTTCTTACAGCTCTTTGAGCGTTCTGAGCTGCTATTTTGACCCCATATTTTTTAATTTGGAAGAACTAGTTACTCTAGACTATTTTTATCTAATTAAAAATGATGTTATTAGTAATATATATATATATATATATATATATATATATATATATATATATATATATATATATATATATATATATATATATATATATATATATATATATATATATATGATGACACTATACTCCGGGATATCATCCGTTCGCTCGTTGAACTCCGACTGGAATCCTGCATCCGACTGGAATTCTGCAAATCCACTTCGAACACTCGAAGTGTTTTCGGAGCGCGAGCATTGAAGATGCCAAGTGAGATTTTGGCGAAACGTCTGCAGGATTCCAGTCGGATGCAGGATTTGCAGGATTCCAGTCGGATGCAGGATTCCAGTCGGAGTTCAACGAGCGAACGGATGATATCCCGGAATATAGTGTCATCACATTTTTCCATCCGTGAATCAATACGTGAGAATATATATATATATATATATATATATATATATATATATATATATATATATATATATATATATATATATATATATATATATATATATATATATATATATATATATATATATATATATATATATATATATATATATATATATATATATATATATATATATATATATATATATATATATATATATATATATATATAGATGAGCAATAGAGAATTTAAACATACCATTAAAGAATTCCTGCAACGTCATTGTTTTTACTCCCTGCGAGCATACATTGACACTGTCACTGGTATCGATGCGCTATAAAACTGTATAGTACTGTCTAATTTTGTTTGTATTAGATGTGTGTTTTTATGTTATTTATTAATTTGATTTTATTGCACTTGAATATCACTTCTGACTTGCTACAATTGTACGTCCCTTTTCTATGAAACGAAATGAATGTATCTATGTATCTATCTATGTTTTTATATATATATGATGACACTATATTCTGGGATATCATCCGTTCGCTTGTTGAACTCCGACTGGAATCCTGCATCCGACTGGAATCCTGCAGACGTTTCGCCAAAATCTCACTTGGCATCTTCAATGCTCGCGCTCCGAAAACACTTCGAACACTCACACACTATATATATATATATATATATATATATATATATATATATATATATATATATATATATATATATATATATATATATATTCTCACGTATTGATTCACGGATGGAAAAATGTGATGACACTATATTCCGGGATATCATCCGTTCGCTCGTTGAACTCCGACTGGAATCCTGCATCCGACTGGAATCCTGCAGACGTTTCGCCAAAATCTCACTTGGCATCTTCAATGCTCGCGCTCCGAAAACACTTCGAACACTTCGAAGTGTTTTCGGAGCGCGAGCATTGAAGATGCCAAGTGAGATTTTGGCGAAACGTCTGCAGGATTCCAGTCGGATGCAAGATTTGCAGGATTCCAGTCGGATGCAGGATTCCAGTCGGAGTTCAACGAGCGAACGGATGATATCCCGGAATATAGTGTCATCATATATATATATATATATATATATATATATATATATATATATATATATATATATATATATATATATATATATATATATATATATAATTTCAAATGCACCAATGCAACATTAATATACAAAAGATGACATAAACAAAAACAAAAAGTGCAAGCAGAAAGTAAGTGAAGTGTTTCATTTAGACTTTTGATGGATTTGATTGACAATTTGAAAGAGACCTGAAAGGTGACGGAATTTAGATGGTGTACGGCATCAAAGATTGTAAGCAAGAGGAAAATTGATAGTTGAATTAAATTTTTCATTTGTTCATATTTTAACATATTAAAATTTGTTTCTTTTTTTATGGGCCCTTCTGGTCTTATTTGTGGTACTGTGAACAAGCACACACCTATTCCGTAGTCAGAAGTAGTTTGTAATTAGAAATTGATTAGAACTTTCAAACTTTCTCCCAAATTGGCCACAACAAAGCGACTTGCTACCAATCGATCATTAATAGATTACACTATACGGCCATTCATTTGTTTCAAGCGCTAATTGGCTGACAACGGTTACACCAACATCATTTGTTGAACGAGATTATACTTGTCGAACATTATTGGTTTTCACTATATCTTGACTCCGGCTGACTGAACAAATCGCACACGTACATTATCTAAAACTAATTTTGCGCGGGTGGTCATTTTGGTGCCACTGTTATTTCAAAATTAAGTACGGTATAAAGCGCATATTGGCGAAATTTTGTTAGTTCGAAAATGTTTCCAATTGTTATTTGCCATGGACATAAATAAAAAAAAATCTCGATTCAATTGTGTCTTTCTGTCCCGTGCAGCTGACATTCGTTCGTTCGTTTTCTACCTTTTAACGAGCAGAGGTAGGGACGCATATAATGTTACGGGGGTGTAAGTAAGTTTATTAGTAGTAAAAAATAAAGGTAATCGATTTACAGCTTCTTTGTTGGTAATGCTGTAAGAGTTGAACGTCGATTTTCGTTCTAAAATGTTTTTAAAAAGTATGGTGAAAGTCGTCATAAAAATCTGTAACAATAAAAAATTCATAATTAATAGTGTCTGTCCTTATGGGCATTAACAAAAATATGCTCGCGCTCCGAAAACACTTCCAACTCAGTGTTCTAAGTGTTTTCGGAGCGCCAGCATTGAAGATGCCAAGTGAGATTTTGGCGAAACGTCTGCAGGATTCCAGGATTCCAGTCGAATGCAGGATTCCAATCGGAGTTCAACGAGCGAACGGATGATATCCCGGAATATAGTGTCATCATATATATATATATATATATATATATATATATATATATATATATATATATATATATATATATATATATATATATATATATATATAACGGGCTTCATGCGAGGGCCGAAATTGGCCCGCAATAGAACCACTGGTCGCAACTGATAACCAGATAAGACGCCCATATACAAGAAATTATCCGCCATGTTAAAAACGAGACTGTATAAATGTGACGTCATTGTAACTTAGCAAGCTGAATGAATGAATTTGAGAAGGCAATACTGCATCTTTCAAATTGGTGTATACCGATGGAGCAGCTAGGCTTACATCAGTAGAAAGTTAAAATTCATGTCTGCACTATTAAGTGAAATCATTAGTTAATTGTATGAGATTCAGTTGCGGAAAATTCTTCTTATATTACATTAGATTTTGCTTTACAATAAGCACTAAAGTTACGAATAAGACTGACGTTAAGGGCAAGGGGGCCCGGGAATTCGAAGAACAAGTAAATTTTATACAAGCGCATCCAGTAGTCACATGGTAGAGGACCAGAGGCCAGTTGGATCATTCAGGATTGGAATCAGGAGTCTGCAGGCAAACCAAAAATGCAGGCTTGCCACTGGGCGACAGAATACAGCTTTAAGACAGTTTCCCAAGTCAGACTATGGGAGGTCGAAATCAATTTTAGCAAAGCATGTTTAAAACGAAACTAATTGAGTTGTTAATTTGAAAAATCATTGAAAAAACTTGAAAATATATCTACCCGAAAGGAAGATAATTATTTCACTAAGCTTAGTTATTAAATATAAATTACGTAGCTGAATAGAATCTAATTTTATATACAATTTTTGCCTTTTCCAGATTCAATACAATAATGTGATAAATTTGAAAACTGAAACCTCAGCTTAAGATGGAAATCGGAGGTTGCAGAAAGTTCTATAGGAGCTGCTCTACTAGGTAAATATTTCTCTTTTGAATTAAATTTTCGCAAATCACGTAAAAGTGGGAAAATAACTTTAACTGTGCGGTGGAAAGTTGAACCCTCTATAACTTGCAACGACTTTTCTTTCGTTATTGAACAATAATATTGGTCCTAGAATATCAAACTTTTTTATTTAACGACTTAGTGCAGCTTCTTAAAACAATTTAAGAAATAATTACGTATATTTATTTGTATTGAAAAATGTAGAAGTGTCATAACTTTCTGCCCTAATAATAAGTCTGAAGTGTTATTGTCTTATGTATCTTTGTAATAATATTTATTAGGTCTTCCAGTAAGCCAACCGTTAGTTTACCAAAATCTTCGTATTCTTCGCCTACGCCACCTCCAATTAAAAGCCCGTTCATCGAAGGGGGAGAGAATTTCCAAGACTTCTTCGAAGCAGCTGCAATTGGCTCTCCCAAATTGTCACTAAGCAGCCCCACAGAAACAGAGAGATGTCTTTCGGAACACATCCCAGGTCAGAAGATTTTAATAATCCCATAATGAATTGCTCTCCAATAGGATGTGTAATATAAATCTGTTATTTTACATTACAATTTTGACAATAACAAGATATTGTTTAAAGGCTTGTTACATCCTATAAGAATATATTATTATGTGTATGTAGACTATATCAGGGGTAAAGTTTCAGATATCATTTAATCTTACCATTCTGAACTTTATAAATACAAAAGTGAAGAAAAAATATTAACTTTATGGGCGTTCCACAAGGGTCTGATCTGGGATCTTTGTTATTCCTGGTATTTATTAATGATCTACATAACACGGCAGGCCTGGAAAACGGGATACTTGGCATCATTTTCGGATGATAATTCCTATCTATGTCGTGACCTTTCGGTCTAGGATTGCCATAAAATTTAACTAATGTTAGATGATTTCACAACAAACTTTGTCTTAACAAAGAAAAAATGGATTTTATAAATTTTAGTCTAAGGTCACAAGTTGCTTGGTGGACTATGCACACATACTGTGTCCTAAACTACAATATTAACTCTATGTTTTGTTTTGTATAGGCTAGAGCAAATACAAACCCGGAAGTTGTTTAATCTTATTATACATTTCAGAGTATTTAAATTGTAAAAACCAGCTGTTTTCTTATCCATATCCATATCCTTATAACTGTGCTGCGCTTATTTCTTTGAAATACTTAGTAACCTACAGTATTTTATACTTTCATAATTATAATACCATAATAATAATACAGTAATGGACTAGGGTTATTAGAAAAGTCACCGCTATTATGTGGGAGCTAAGTGTCGACCAATTGCAGTTTGGTCTTTGACAATTGACAGTTTGACAATTTTGCGGAAATACGAAAGTGCATTAGCAAAAAAATCTGAAATTACTTCGTTATATAACTTATGGTGAGACAAATTAATTTAGGTTTTACCATTAAGTATAATTTTCGAACCCGACTTAAATTTCTTTAAAGTCATGATCAATAAAATAACGTGAAATGATGAATGAATGACGAATCAGGCTTATTCGTAATGTACAAATTGTTTATTATTCTTAAAACAAATTCCAAGAGCGAAACCATGGCAAGTACAAATTTTTAAAAAGCAATGCAATTCAATCAATGCAGATTGTTGTAGTTATTAAGATGACGTTGCAAAAAAATTTTTGAAATACTTGTACTGAAAAATCGATCATATAAAACACTGAAAGGACCTTCTCATTTATATAATTATGCATTACTACCTTTTCGCTGTTTTTGAAAAACAACCGATAGTTTTATTTGTTACAATGAACAATTTATTATTTTTTTTGCCTTAAAACCAGGACAATTTCCGCAACACTCTCCGCGTTCGCCCCGAACACCGCGATCACCTCGTACCACCAATACGAAATTTTCATTCGACTCCTACTCTAAAATGGCCCCCGTGCAAAGAAATGAACATCCTAACGCTATAGGCAAGACGTGCCACTCTTTAGACTCTGACACGCATACGATGACTACTTCAAAGTGTTCTACGACCACCACTAGCTTGAGTTCTCGTCATTCGTCCCTGAAAGAGAAAAGGTAAGACAGGAAAAACGGGAGTACAGGCTGAGCAGTTTTCGTGTGTTTCTTGGAGAATCTTGCGCAGATATAGGACATTATTTTTACTAACAGATTGTAAAACATATCAAAATGTATTTCTTGCCTTTTCGGGAGAATTTAGTGGTGTAATTTGTTTGTTGTCACATTTTTTAGAAATTACATTTTTTAATGAGACTCGTTCGCGAATTTTTATGTTTTTTAAAAAACTTGTGATGTGATACTGATAATTCTTGGATTCATTTTAGGAAAAAAAATATTTTTTGTATTGGAAAAGGAAGGATTCTATATATCTTTCTGACTTTCGGTAAATGCATTTTGCACTTTGAGGTACACAAAACTTTTTCTACTTCTACGAGTGGCATCCGTCCGCGATTTTTATCTCATATTTTTCAAGAAAAAAAAATTCCGTCAGTGACATTTTATCAAGTAACTATTTTCTCCTTCACCTCTTGCTTTTTTCTTGTCACCGTTTTGGCGAATTAATCTAATTTTTCGTATTTTTAAAAATGTTCTACCGTTATAGATATAGATAATGAATCAATCGGATGCACAACTGGCATCACCATGTATCTTATTTCTTTTCTAAATTGAGCTCAAGAATTATCCCCCTTGATGCAACATTAAGGAAATGCGATTGTGATCTGTATTTCGTTTTTAAATAAAGTGACAGTTTCAATGCTGGGATTATTTGAACCAGTCTGATTTATACTTTTAGTATACTTTAAGGATCGTCGTTTTTGCATACCATAAAATATTTATTTTCAGATTATCAAAAAAAAATGCCACGTCCTTTTTCTGTAACCAAATGACAAACTCCAAAAAATACGCGAAGAGTGGACAGTCCGTACATGCAAATGTTTCAAACATTGTTCTTTGTTCAGGGGGAGACCAAGTTATCACATTCCGGCGGACTCTTCGCACGACTTAACCTCAACCGAGAAACCCAAAATTCATCGCTGCCGGAAGTCAACGTCTGATTTAACAGATATGACTGACGCTTCTGCTAATAACACCACAGCAACCGCTTCAAGTAGATCTAGACGCGGCTCCATCAAAGGTAAAGATTGTTAATTTTTGCAATACTAAACAAAAATGCGAAAAATACTACACAACCGTAACTTTTGGCACATTAAACACTGCCTTATATCTTTCTTTTACAAAATCTGCTGGATTTCGACCTATTACTAGTGGATAAAACTAAAAATGATTCCACAAGATACGCGATACAGGTCTTTTTCTAGCATAATGAAGAGTAACTTACTTACTTATAGCGAATATTAATCTGACTAACATTGTCTGCAAAAAAGAAAAACCATTAAGTTCTATAATATTACATCCAAAATGTTTCGGTTACTTCATTTAAAAAACCTGTGATGTTAGTTACATCAGGTTTTTTAAAAGGTTTGATAGCGTTCTTAAAAACTTTGCTATAATACTTATACTTTTATAGCCTACTCTGTAAAACCCTTATAAATGTTAAAGCACCTTATAAATATTCTACAGCTACTACGGAACCTAGACTCTTGGACCCACCGTCAAAGACGATGCGATGCTGTTTGCCCAACTTATTGTATTTGCACAAATTTAAAAGTCATGTTTACTATAATTCAAATCTTTATCTAGTCAATTACAAAAAAAACTAGGCCAGAATAAATAAATAAACCTCAATTGAAAAGTGAGGTTATGATTGCATAATTGAGATTTGACATTTGCTCACTAAAATTTTCAATTGCTTTTACGGTTACTTTTAGTTTTATGGCGGTTGTGAAAGTTTTCGTAATTATCTTTTCAGTAACTGAATGGAAGAGCAATATTGGTGTAAGTTGGAAAAACGTTTTAGAAAAGTTTCCAAGGTATTTAATATTACTTGTCTAAAACAATATTTTAAAAATCCATCCTGGTGAGCATGGCATCTGACGACCACTGCTGTGTTTTTTTTTCATTAATTAAATTAAAAGATAATGTAATTGCAAGAAAAATTATGATAAATAACATGTAGTTTTTCGCCAAAATTAAGTTTTCAGTTGCTTAAGGCGAAGGTGCTTCAGGTTTAAGTGGGTAAAATATAAAAATATTCGATTTTTTTTGTACCAAATAAAATTAAGTCATAGTTGAAAATTTTGGAGTTTTTGAGTTGTTATGGTGCTTATTAAGAAATTCTAATAATAATGCCAAAGTGAAAAATATATTTAAAGAAATGATATAGAAAAAAGTGAAGCGCAAAATGGGCGTTTTTTGTTTTGGTGGTAGGTAATGTTTATAGCGTTAACGAAAATGTCGTTATAAAATTCATTTACGGTTTATAGAAGTAACAACGACCTCCTAGTTACAAATAAATTGGCAGTAAAAGTTTTATGTGGAACTACAATTTGGTCACCATTACCTTTATAAGATTCGTAGATTTATAAGATAAGTGCTATAAGAGTTTTATAAGAGTAATTCATACCATTCATAGGTTTTCAGGTTTTATAAAATAGGTAATCGAAACATAAAAATTTTACTTGAGGTAAAATACAACAACCATTCAGAATTTCTCCATCGAATTGCAAAACAATAAACACATCGATTTCCTGTTCCCTGTCATTCTAGCTACCAAGCATTTTAGTAAGAATTTATGATCAAACTATGGCTGATATTGATTTAAATTTGAAATTTATTGTCTTAATGGAACGTTGTTATTGTTTCCGACTTTTCTAAACCGCATCGTTTGACTTTCAATTCATTAATAATTAGCACTTGGAGAAATGGAAAATCTATATCCAATCATGAAGGTTGTTAAAGCGGTTACGGACTGAGTTTTCAGCGATACTAACCAACATTTTTGATGATAAGTTGTAAGCTTTTAATTGAAAATTTTGCTTACTGTTTTATCCTTTTAACAAAATGTGCCCTACTAAATTTATTACGTTATTGTCAAAAATTGGTTGCGAAGTTGGTAAATAGTATATTACGCAACAAGTGCTGTAAACGGCATTTGATTCATGAGTTTACTTGACACGAGCAGAGCGTTTTGCCGAGCGTTTACCGAGTTTGTTTAATTTACCGAGTTTAAAAAGTTTACCGAGCGTGTTGGATACTATACTTTTTCTACGACCGTTAGTTTTTGGGTAGATTTTCGCCAAACAACACGAATACATTCACTGACATGCCCGTCAGAATTAACAAACGTCAAATTCAAGGCGTGGGAAATATCTCCGAAAACATCCGATTGCTCCTAAACCCGGGCGGTAAAATTTCGGAAATGTGCGAAGTGGCTCGGATCTGTGGGAAATAAAACTGACGTGGTAAAGTGGCACCTCCCGCCCGCTAGATCGGTGGGTAATTAGGTATTTTAGAGACGGGAGTAGAAAAACATCCCGATTTAGTGTGCGAGAAGCATCACTTTACCACGTCAGTTTCGTTTCCCATGAATCCGAGCCACTTCGGACATTTCCGGGATTTTACCGCACGGATTTGGGAGCAATCGGATGTTTTCGGAGATATTTCCCACGCTGCGAATTTTGACGTTTGTCAATTCTGACGGTCATGCCAGTGAATGTATTCGTGTTGTTTTGCGAAGATGTACCCAAAAACTAACGGTCGTAGAAAAAAAAATACTATTACTTTACGGCTTATTTTCAAAGATGAATAAAACATTTTAAAAAATGTTTACGGTAATGAATGTTACGTTCGTTAATTGTATCGGTCAATAGTGCACTTTAGCGTTCGTTTATAAAATCGAATCGCCCTTTGCGCCCCTGAGTGGCGTTTTTCAATATGCAATAGGAACGGTCCGAGCTCAATTAACTGTGATTTTAAAAGCGAATACATTGGGCAAATAAATAAAACGTCCAGAGGTCAATTTACTTTCGAGGAGTTATTATTTAGTAACGAGGTTATATTTAAGCAAAGGAAGTTTTACACAAGATACTCTATGCCTTTATCTCGAAACATTGATTGATTTAAAAATAGGTAAATACAAAGTAGGTGATATCGTTCTAAGAAATTTTATGTTACATCATTTGTTGTTGAAGCTGACTCTTAACATTTAGTTAAACAGAACAACATAATTTTGATGAATAATAATTACTTAGGTCTCAAATCCTGTTCAATTATGAAGGTACCTATCACAGGCATGGGAAACTTAATTTTAGATTTCAATTTGTTTTTTTATGGTCACTGGTTGTTCCGATTTTAAGCCTTTTCTACATCCTACACTAGTACCTAATTATGCACCGAATAATTAGGTACGGCAAGTATCAATTTAAGAAGCCAACATCGCTACCCTCGATCACGAAAAACTTCGGACATTTTCCGTATTTTTTCACGGGCTTGGTAGCGATCAGACGCTTTTGGTATATTTTAGGCATGGTATTCTAATATTTGTTAGTTCGCATGGTCTAGTTCTAATATTCATCAAAAAAGCATAGTTTACAATACGTTTATAACTTTCTTTAGCTACTCGATCCACAGCTTCATGCCTAAAAGAATCCGTGACTAAAGTGTAACATGTTGCATAATATAATGTTAATCTTCTGTCATAATTGCCTATTGCCCTTTATCAACTTCTACAATACAAGATGAAAGGATTGCTTGCTAGCAACACCATTTTGTAGCTGTAAAACGGAATAATAATAATCCACATCGTATTTGCAGTTCTATCAGATTTTAAATTTGTCGCCAGTCTATCTAAAAGAATCAACTAACCGGCTTCCAAAATTATTGTTAACACTTAACTGGTAAATCTGTAAATTTTTCAATGTAATTTCATGTGTTTCTATTTACCACAATTACAATTGCAAATGTAAGTACGCAGTCCAGGCATGAACGAAAATACAGAATAGGTACTTCAATAAGCCGACTCCATGCTTCGTGTATCAAAAAGTGTGCATTTTATTCACGAAGTATGAACAATCGACATCACAATTGTCAAAACGTCAAAATTCAAGCCGTGGTTGATATCTCCGAAAACATTCGATTACCCCCAAACTGACGTGTTCGAGAATAAAATGGTGCCTTCTGCACCGATCTCTGTATAATTAGGTATTTTAGACAAGGGATTAGAAAAATATATTTTTAGCAAGTGCCACACTTCTGTCTCTCTAAAGAAACTCGCAAATAATGTGTTATTTATAAAACTTAAGTATTATATATATGACACGCAATAACGCGTTTTACCACAAACCGAAACTCAATTTTACGTACGCGCGTTTCGCCAACCAAGTTGGCATCTCCAGAAGAAGATTAAAACTGGTATATGAATAACTAATATAACCATCATTTTCATAAACTTATAATAAATAATATGATATAATATGAAAAATATTATAATAAAAAATGGTCTTTAGACTAATCTCGTAATCAATGGACTGTCAAAGTATTTTTTGGAATAATCGAAATAGTAAAACTTTTGGCATGGTAAATAGTACGAAAAGTATAAACTTATTGTACTTGGCGTAACTAAAGTTCCGGAAAAACTCAAACTGGCTCGCGAGAGCGTTAGAATTTAGTGCATAGGGAATAAAAATGTTAATTTGTGCACAGCGAGGCATTCTTTTTCATATTCTCCATCTTTGATGATTTTAGGACGGAGTAGAAAATTGAAAATTTATTTATTTTTTTTAACCAAAGGCAACCTTGCTTATTTGGCAAGCAGGAAGAATTCCAGAGGTTCGAGAGAGTCGGTGTCGTCGATCATGAGCAACGCATCGGATTGTGAAGGTTTGGGCCCCCTCAACTTCCAACATCCTAGAAATAGACAGAGACGTACTTCAAATTTTTTGGAATTACCTGGTAATTATCTTTATCTTTTATCCATAAAATGCATATCAGCAATTGTTGGTACCGAAAATTTGAATTTTAAATAGGATCAAAAAAAGGGTTTCGGAGTAAAGACCGATATTAAAATTTGTCTTGTACCTGCGAGGTAATGCACCTCCTATGAAATTGCACCCTTATGTCACGTTATTGGTTATTAACGCGTTATAACTTAATTTTTATGATTTTATTATGAATTCAATATTTATAGTTTTGGCACTTTCTTTTTCTTGGAGATTCTTTAAAAGATTAGATTAAGAGTACTCGGCGTGAAAAACAATCACAACTTGGGTAAACCCCAATGATGTTTCAGGTACATCTCCTTTTAGTGTAGAAATAATATTAGGGACCTAACAAGTTTCTGAATTATATCGCACACATTAGGATTTAAAAAAGGATTTAAGCCTCCCTAAGTCGTCATTATCGTTAAAGTGTCCAATAATTATCGTTTTTTTAAAAATCGATTCAAATCTGACTGAAATATCTAAGAAACGACTTCGAAATTAGATGTTTTTTAGAATAAACAATGGAATTGGTGAAATAAAGGTTACAGTTGCAGTATAATAAAATAAAATCAAAATTTAATTCATGCACCACTATAATTGTTATTTGTGAAACTTTTCATATCACTACGCTTTAAATTTTAGTAGCGGAAGTCGTATTTCGTCGTAGGTAGCGGCGGACTTTATCAACAAGGGAAAACGTTATTTCTCACCGAATGCGCATGTTCCAAATAAAGCAAAGCAATGCCAAAATAAGAGGCGCTCATACAAAAAAAAACGACCTTTTCCATAAATAATATTACTTAATTATATTTGACGAGACAGAAAAAAAAATAAACAAAATTTCTATTTATTTTAGTTATTAATTTAACACTGACATTAGTCTTTCCAAATTTCGAAAAAAAAAAAGTTTAATGTGTTTTTATTTCTTTTACTTAAATAGTTTCTTAATTACAACGAAACCCGAAAAGTTTCCACATAACCTACAAATCATTGCGTAAAATCAATTAGAAGTATGTAAATTTTTTGTAAAATCCTTGAAACCTTTGCGAGTACTGTACTGTACTGTACTGTACTGTACAAATTTTGGATGTTGATTTGCATCGATAAAAGACTGTGCTCTAATTTGTGCACTGGCTATACCTCTTACAGTTTGAAACATCAGAATATTGAGAATCGAATTTTAAACACATTACAAACTTATTCCATTATAAATTTATGAAAAATAAGTGCGTATAACTTAAAGACATTTTAACAAGGCACTCTAGATATTGTGAAGGAGGAAACAACATAAGCACGGATAAAATATTTACTTCTTCCGAATGCTAACCGTATTTTCAGTTCAGTTAGAAACGTAACGGAAATAGGGCAACAGAATTTCTTGTAAAACCGAGATAGATTTTCCTGAGCGACAAGAGCCTTATGCCGCGTTTGTTTATTATATTTTACCTTCAGCGTCAACATTTTTCATCTGAGATTGCATTCTATTCCGGGGATCATCTCGGAATTTTCAGCGACGGTGAAGGTTCAGTAATTTGTCAGACGAAATATATAACTTCTGCATTCTCCTTGCCCTTTGTGATCCGGCAAAAAGTGATACGCAGTAGTGGTATTAAAAAGCACAATATTTTGTCATGCAGAACAAATTTGCCTGTATATTTTGCAGTCTCAGTAAGTATATTGGATAGTTCACAGTGGATTGCAGTTTGGATAGAGGGTATGAATGTAAGACAGTGAATTTTTTTTTATTTTTTTGGCGAAGAATGAGGTAGGGAATCCTGTAAATTTCTTCATGTTGGCTAAATCACAATAACCACGTGATGCCGTTTTTTGAAACATTGCGTTGCTATGTAAATATGGCCATGTTGTTATTTTTAACTTAGAACTAAACAATAACAGATACGGTCTAAACTGCATCAAAAAATAATTTGTGAAGGAAATGGACAACACGGGCGGAACGCAAAATCAATATAAACATAAAGATAAATATAAATGTTACTGTTTAAACGCCACACTTTTTTACATTTTATTCAACCTTTTTACCTGTAAGGTTGTGACGGGTTCAAATTGCCATTGATCATTTCTATTAAAAAAATTCCAATATGGAGACTACTTATCGAATACTTCACTTCTGCTATAAGTATTCCCAAAATCACTTTAGGTTTTATTGTAAGAGCTACATTCCTATAGGGTACTTAGGTAAGTTTTATAAAAGTTTCCAAAATGTTTAACACTACTTGCATGCCCATATGACATAAATACCTTTATCAAAAAGAAATATTGCTAAAAGTTGAAGACGTTTCTTCAAAAATACACGATTAAGAAAGGTTTTGAATTTTAATTGCAAGAATGACTTTGAAAAATTGGTGTATTGTTTATGTAAACGAAATATTTTTAGCAATGTAATATCATCTAACCGTCATCACCCTAAACATAGCAATCTCAGCTATCATGGGTGACAAATATTAAATAAACCTCAAACTGAAGTAATAAGAATCAGCACAGATAGAACTATACTAGATTTGTTTGATAGTACACTATAGTGAAAGAAAAGAATTTTCTAGATTGATTCTAGAATTTCTCCAGAATGAATTGTGCATTTTGTGTCTCCGTTTTTTTAGGAATATCTCACGAAATTTTTACGTGCGCCCATTGTCTTAACAAAAATTTGTTTACTGGTTCTTTACGATTCTGAAATGATGACTCTGAAATTTAACAATCGAGGAAATCGATAAATTAATTTTGCGTCACAGTCGCGTGTGATTTAAAAATAACTGGGTTATAGGGTTTTCTATTTGCTCTGAATTTGTCCATTTTAAATTAAGTTGTGCAACTAATTCTTATTGAAGAATCAAATAAACTGCACCTATCAATTATGAGTAATACATTCACGTTTCAAATTCCACCTTGTTTAATTTATTTTAATCAACGGCATTTACTAAAGTTAAAACTAAATAAAATTACTTTAGTAAAAGATTATTATATAAGGTTATAAATACAAATTTTTCGAAACGTTTTACTTTTCGATTGTGTAAAGTCCTATTATAGTAATTTTTGAAAAATATTTTCGTTCCAAACAAATTATCAGCACAGTGAAAAAAGGACCAAAGTAGCAAATTTGGGCAGTCAATTTGAGATTGTTTGAATTTGAATCACATCAGAATTTTGCAACGAAAACATCGACGAAACTTGATTTTCATTATGGTGTTGAATACGCATATGTATTGTTGAAACAGTTTTACTGTATAAATAAATTTCAGTCAACCCAAAAGTCAAATCTGACAAGCACAAGAGCAAAACTAAACAAACTTTGAAGACATTATTTAACATCAACTATCGATAAGCAACAAATTTGGAAACAGCTTTGGAGTTCTCAAACACGTTTCAAATTGGGACCATTATTCTTGACCGTGATAGAATAAAACCACTCCCGGGAAGCGCTCTTTCAGTTCTTTCTATTCCTCGTTTTATCCAATCGGAACAGTGTTACTGAACAAAAGGTAACGGATGAAAAAGCGGAAAACGAGCAGCTCCGTTGTCAAATATACCTGATTGTGCTAAAATTTTTTCCTGAATTTCGAATTTTCAAAATTATTGACGTTATATTATTGTGATGTTTGTAAGTGGTATTTGTTTTCATTGAGAGTGCAATTTTAAACTGTTGTAATTACTCTTATTAAAGCCATGTAGCACCTAAATGGAGAATCTTATAATGGTAAAGGTGACAAATGTTGTAGTCCCTTATAAAACGTTTACTCCCCATTTATTTTTAACTACCATCTTGCTACTTTGGTTACCGCTATAAACCTCTATAAAACCTACCTCAGTATTTATAAACAGCCAACAGCTATTTTCGCTTCACCTTTCTCTATATAATTTGTTTAGAATACATTTTAATTCGGGCTCTTGTCTTTTAATCTAAAGTGTATTGGAAGTATTGGATTTTTACTTTGAAATTGTTATGAAAACATAACAACTCAAAGACTCTTAACTTAACTTTATTTTCAACAAAAAATGTATGTTAATCGTATATTGTTGACGAAATAAGTCTTAAAGTTTCAGTAATATTGCTTAAATTGCGATATTCTCTCTTTTTATGAAGGTAATATCAATTCCAATAATCATAAGCAATGGAGGCATGTTCACCAGGTATGCTTTTTAAAATCTTATAGATTTAAATGAGCTTTCAAGTAATATTAATTACACTTTGGAAACTTTTATAAAACTTCACTACGTGTTTTATAGCAATATTGCTATTGCAATAAGACCTAAGATGATTTTGGGATACTTATTGTATTATGAGTTACCAATATAATATTTATGAAAACCTTCGTAATTGCTATAAAGCTTTTTACGTTTTAGTTGTTGTTTGTTTCTTTTTTATTGAAAGAAGTAGATGTTCAGATTCGTATAAATATCTAGATGAAATTTGGAATTAAGCTATTCCTTTTAATATTGTAAAAGCGAAGGATTTTGTTACAAGAGCACCGGTTAGACGGTAGTTCTAGCGTATGAAATATTTATTAGGTGCTTTAAGATTTATTAGGGTAATACAACAGTAAAAAATTTATAAAAAGGTTTTTCAGAACGCCATAAAACCTTTTTAAAAAATCCAAAATTTTATAAACGTTTGGATGTAAGTTTATAAAAACTTATGTGTTTTGGTATTTATTGGGCGTCTTACGAAACTTGTAACATCAAAGGTTTTCTTATTAAACTATAAGAACTGTTATAAAAGCTAACGTTTCTTCTAAAGCTCTTATAAATAACCGTTATCTTTTAATAAAATCTTAAGCTGCGAAAAATATATTTCAGCCACTTTCTCTTGGGTTTCCCATTCTAGATGGATTGCGCTTCATGATATTGTGCATAATCCTGATTATAAGGAACTGATTCTGATTGGGGTTGGATCGATCGTTACACAAAGTAATAAGTACGATTCTGTACCTTCATTGTGGAATTGCAAATATATTTATTGAGGGTTACAAACAGAAACCCAAGCAAGGTAGGCTTGCGGTTAGACCTGCATACAAATTTACCAAAGCTAAATACCAGATTATGTCGTAAAAACGGCATATAGTTTGGAGAACTCTAACAATGCAATAAATGAGCAATAATAATAAAATTTTGAGCATTGGTTTCTTCCGTTTGCTAGGTGGCATTAAATTTGAATTTAACACACACTGGGTTTGGAAACGCTTTTGTTTGGTATTTTCAATTGTACACAAAATTTAATTTATTGATTTTTACTAAATGCTTTGTTCTGATAAATATTTTCCATCGTCGACAATTGAATATAAATATCTATAGGGTGTCCTAAAATTGGAAGCACATATGTGTGTGATATATCTGTATCTAAAATAAATTCATGTTTCATGTATAAACATACATCCTTAAAGACCTACAAGGTATTAAATTTCTGAGAAAAATAAATGTTTCCTATCATTTTTTTTACATTACATAAAAAATTAAAAATATTCTCTCTCAGTTTAATTCGGAAAAATATCGTGTTACAGTCAACCCTCAAATATTCTCGCTCTCTTCTAAATCCGAAATATTTTATCAACATTCACCTAGCGATATCGATATGGCAGGTGTGCTGTAACTAACTTCAGAATTGTTCCCAAAATTAGTAAGCCATAGAGACAAATCGCACTACCATAAATTCATTTCACGTCAAAATGAATTTCACCTCTATCTTGCAGCTTTATTTACGATTCTAGTTACGTCTTATTCGAACAGAGAATATCCTCAAACGAGAGGATTAAATGTTCGGTGTAGCGGTAAATCGCTGTATGAACTTAATCGCGCGCATCTTTCAAATTCGGTAGTTGAGGATTAGTCGATTTGTCATGTCTGAATATGCAATAAAAATGTTTCACTATCTTAGTCTTCAAAGGTAACAAAAATTTTAAAAACATCGTAATACTCTTTCTATAATATTAGGAAAAAAAATATGACTCTCTATTAATATTGGAAAGACGTTACTAACGATATGCCATTTTGGAATTAAAAAACTTTAAATAAATTTTGTCATACAATATCGCACCAATAATACAAATGCAATCAACGTGTTTGGAATATCCAAAATTATCTTAGAATTTTGCTTCTTTTAATCAAAATTTAACAGAATTTACAGGAAGAAAAATGTTAAACAATGAGGGTGTAACACGCAATAAAGTTTACCTAAACTTTTGAAGCTAGCGACTTGAAATTTGATAGACAATATTGTCAATATTATAAACATATTTCCTATTAATAAATCATCGCAATGTTAATGTGTGGATGCAAACATATTTGGTATAGTTCCAGATCATATCAGACCTAGAGTGTGTTCACTGCCCGAAAAAACCCTTAATCCACGTCTAAGCGACGATCTGTATCGCTTGAGGACGTTCAGTATTACTAACAAAGGCGTCATAAATTGCGGAGATTCCATCATCAACAGGAGATCGAGATCAAATACCAGCGTCAATTCCATAACCAGCAGGTAAAACGAAATACAAGTCTTTAGGTAGACTAACTGTAAATATACTTTAGATCAAATGCATCCGGAGAAAGATCCCCATTTGATGGTTCTTGTTGCGGATCCGGTTACCATTCAGTGGGTTCATCCTCTCTGGAATCTGCTGATGAAATAGAAGTACCAAAATACAGGGTGGTGATGCTCGGTGATGCAGGGGTAGGAAAAACTGCTCTGGTATCTCAGTTTATGACATCAGAATATATGAATACTTACGATGCTAGTTTAGGTAAGAATTGGAAATTAATTTTCGGCTCGGTATTTTCTCTTAAAACTTTTTCAATAGAGAACGGAAATTGTTCTCAATTCCCAAATCCATTTCAGATGACGAGTTTGGCGAAAGGACGGTATCTGTTTTGTTAGATGGACAAGAATCAGAAATGGTATTCATCGATCATCCAGCTTCAGAAATGTCGGTGTGTATATATCCAACACGAATTAAAAAACTGGCATATAATATTAACAACTTTTCCAATTTTACTGGAAAAATTATACTTTTGGGCTCTGGAACCCACTAGATCTAAAATCATCTTATCTTCGCGATAGAAAGCAAACAGTTTTTTGCAATAATGACATGATCTCTCTGACTATATTGAGTTTGTGGCTGCTGCAGACAACTTTACATTTAAGAGATCAAATCCGAATATAGGAACTTTTAAAGGATAAACACAGTTGCCAAAAGAATATGGCAATCAGTGTTTGAAGCGAGATATAAATATATTTGTTGATCCCTATTTCAGAAACTTGGGGTTATGCCATTGCCATTCATTCATAACTCAAAAAAATTTGTTATCATTTCACTCAGATATTCATAGATGTCCCACTTCTTCCTCATATTTGCTTCGAGCTAGGAAGTTTTAATACACTAACAGATCGACAAATTCTCTTGATCTGAGCTTATAAAACCTAATTCCAAATCAGGTCACAAATTTGCAATTTAAAAATGTTAAAACCAAAATATAATGTTTTTTTTGCAGCACTTTTTGTAGGTATTGTTGTAACCATTATTGTGACCATTATTAGATTGTGTTCTATATTTTCTCTTTTTTTTATTAGATATGTTTTATTCCTGTTTGTTTTCATATATTATGGCGTGTTGTAAAAAAACTCTGTATTGTTAAACAGTGAAGTAAAGAACTATAACCGGACTGAAACTGCCTAAAGTTTTTCTCAAAATATATGTTTTGTTAAAATTTGTTATTTCCAACAAGCTACATATGGCTGTGTTTCGCCCACCCAAGGAGTAGCACTACCTACACAAGGGATTTTAAATATTACGTCAACCGAGACGTGAACATAAACTAAACGTAATTTTGAGCGGTCATGAAGTGGTAAATTGAAGATAAAAGAAGAATTTACAATCATTGTTTATTATGTGAGAATGGTGACAGAAATGTTACTAGTTTTTGTTTTAATTAATTGTAAAACTAAACCACTCCAAATTCTTTAATACGTTAAACATATTAATAATGCTGCTCGTAATTATAACCGATTTTGAAGTAACTCGTGATAATTGAAGATGGATTTGATAAGCTAGAAAAATGTTTTGGAAAATGTACTAGAAAGTGTTGTAACTTTTCTAAACAGTCATTATTTTGGATTTACGATTCTGAACTTACATCCCTAGGTTGAAAATTCAATGAGTACGTACGAACCTCACGCCTGCATAGTTGTTTATTCCATAACATCAAGAAACACTTTCCAAATAGCCGAGGAGATATTAAACTACTTGTGGAAAGAACGGTACACGAAAGAAAAGAATGTGATTGTCGTGGGAAACAAGGTAGATTTGGCAAGATCGCGAGCAATATCACAAAATGGTAAGTCCCACTTGATTACTTTTACAAATAATTCGCTACTTTAAGATAGCTTTAAAGCTGACTTTTGATGATTATATTTGCGAAATTTAATTTATTGTTCAAACAGGGTGGGCCAGATTAAACACTTTTATAGGAAAGCTCTCCCATCTAATGGAAATGATTGAAAACTGATGCCGGTGCCTGGAGCTCAATTTTCCAAAAAAAAAAAATACTAAAAACTGCAAAAGGATATCCCTTGTTGGCTGTTTTTCAAAAATGTGCGTTTTTATTAAAAAAAACTAGAGCTTTCTTATAATAGAAATTTTTGTGTTTTAATGAAAATATTTCAAGAGAAACTTTATACCCCGAATTTAATGGTGCCAAGATAATATATAAATATATATAGAAAAAATTAAAATTTTGGGCTTTGAACAAGGTTCGACCATAATACAGGAAATAAATGCATTCGGGTAGTTGTCCAACTGTGTTTTTGGCTGTAGTTTAACTTTTCAACAAATTGCATTCCTCGCGGCCTTTATAAAACAAACTATAATATCCCATTTATTTAAAAGACTAAAAATCAAAAGTTGGCATACTAAAAACCAAATTTGACAACTACCATTGCGCATGTTCTTCCGGTAATACGGCCGCTGCGCCTAAGTCTACTCAAAAATATATAGGGTTTCTCATATAAAAATTTACTTTTGGTTTGGTCACTATTAAATTATTAGCCTATTCGTCTCTCTCCTTTAGAAAGAGTAGCTTCCTTTTAAAATATTAAATTTCATTTCATCAAAATTTTGTTTTATTTTGCCGGTGTTGTACCTAATACTTACCGTGGGTAAAATTATATATGCATCATAAATACATAGTAAATTTTTTATATGTTATATTCAAATATTAATTCGGATTTTTTTCGCCTTTATAAATAATTAAGAATTTGACAATATTTTTGTTACCCATTTACTGTTTATCTTTGATCACTTGAATCAATTTAATATGGTAAAAATTGTTACTTGGATGTAATGCTTTATAATAAGTTTTGCTTAAAAGAAGTGAAGCCATTAGTTGAAACAAAGGTCCACCTGCATTTGGACCAATTTCTGACGAATCACTATCAACTATGCGAAACTGACTTCGTGAATTTGTAAAAGTCTGCACAACTAAAAGTTTAAGATGTTCGGAAAAAAATAGTTTTAATATTAATAAAATAATAGTCTAGCGTGCGCGATAAGCTACTGATTGGGTTATTTAGGAAAATTAAAAACTTCCGATTTTTAATATTTTCTTTACCTATAGAGGGCAAAGCGTTAGCGGTGGCCAAAGATTGCAAATTCATTGAAACTTCGAGTGGAATACAACATAACGTGGACGAGCTTCTAGTAGGTATTTTGAAACAGATCCGACTTCGAGAAAATTTGGAGAAAAAGAAGAATCTGAGCAGGGAAAAAGGCCGACTGCCCACTTCAAAAACGAGCTTCCGACTTCATCTGGCTAAAGAAATACTGCAGAAGATTTGCTTAAATGACATTAGCAAGTCCAAATCATGCGAGAACTTGCACGTCTTGTAATTTAAGCTCTTAATATGAGAATTGTTGTTTCTTGTTGAAATGTAAATTTTTTAAACAACCTGACTTTTGATGCTTTGTCATGTACTGTAGAACTTTTGTAATCGTGTTCGCTAATTCTTTTTACTACGAAAAAATCTTTTAACTTGAAAAGACTGGTTTTAGATTAGTTTTAAGAATGGAATTGCATTAAGAATTGCCAATGATTTTTGAAGACTTGAGGTTAATTAGAACCATATTCAAGGATCTTGAAATATAGACAAAATGTTTTGTGATATGAAAATGGAAGGCTATAAACATTTTTTAATTACTACTTACATTTCGAGTTCATTCTTCATTAATTGTTATAGTTGAAGGATAACGGGAATGTTTTATGTTTCCAATATGATAATAGGTACTAGCCATTTACAGTTTTCACTGGAATTAATCTGTCAGCAAATAATTTATTTTATTTAGAGTTTAAACAATCTGGGAGACATTTTTAAATAAGTATATCATTCTTGCATAAGCATGGCCCATTATTGACGTCGTTAAAGCATTCTAATCATCTGAAAATCGCTCAAAAGCTTGTCCTTTAGCCAAGGTTAAGTTTGTTAACCTGGTTAGAAATTTACAGATGTTAAATCCAACATTTTTTCATAAATAATTACACAGGGCACTCTATAAAAATAGTTGGTTAATATGGACGCAAGAGAAAAACCAAGATACTCATTTTCAATAAGATTTGCGTTTATTTTTCATTTTATGAAAAGTTGAAAATGAGTGACTTCTCGACTTACAACAATCTATTACAATAAACAAGAGATGACGCATTCAAAAGTTTAAATGCATTTAAACATTATGTAGTAGCTTTTGATCCTGATTGTAAGGCTTTTTACATGGTAGATTATACAACCATAATTGCCAACAATTATTATTATTATATTATTATATATTGCCAATCCACATGAAGACTTTGCGCCACTCAATTAATAATACCACTAAATGTTCTGCTTTCCTAGGTTTTTCCAAACAAATTTTTCAACTTAATTGCTAAAACTATGGATTCACTAATTAGTTTTCCAGGTTGCGAAAAAAAAAATTCTGTTATTTGCATTGATAATTGATAAGTTTTTTTTCAGATTTTGTCAGATCTGTGGGAAAAGATGAATTTTAGAGACCTAGCTAACGACCACGCAAATATGCTGTATAAATGGATAAAATGATTTACATCGTTGATAATGGAACTAACTAAACTAAGCTCACCAACTGTACATCTCAGTGTACGTCTTTATCCTTCTACTTTCTTTTTGAAAGTGCTTGGAGTTGTGCTCGACTATATTCGTTAATGTTAATTTTCAAAATTCGCAAATTTTCGTATTTCAAGTTGGTTTCTAAATGAAAGAAATGGAGAACTTGTGACTTACATAAATATTTTTAGTTTTATGGAGCATGTGAGCTAATATTTTAAGGAATGACATATTAAGGGCGACTTACAATTAAAGTGGTAAAATTATATATACTAAATAAGTATCTGGTAAACAACCGATGTATCTTAAATCATATATTTTGAAACATGCACACTGCTGCCACGTTTACACCAACGTGAGTTAAGTAAGACTTCAATATTTTGAAAATAAACTAATAAATTAATTTAGTATAATAATAATTAATATAGTAGAGTGCATCAAAACTAGAGTTTTTGAAATCAATTTCTCTCTTTTTTTATATTCTTGATTTCGAATTTAGTAGTCAACTCCAAAGTTTTGGTTTTAGTAAGTGACATACCATGTTCATTTTTGCTGCTCTAAAACAAAATAATTATATTTAAAAAGGACTAATTATTTTTAGTCATAAGAATCAAAAACTTAACAACGCAGCATAAAGTGAAACTAATTTAAAGTTTGAAGTGTTAAATAATTATATATGCAATATATAGTGTTACTTATTTTATTTGGCGCATATTTGGGAAATATTTTTTTTCTTGCACGCTCACAATGTGCCAATAAGATTCTTACTTGTTCATGAGAGGGATCTTTACCCTTCTTTGAGATTTTGTAAGAAATGGAGTGCCCGTTATATCAGCGGTCACCGTGGGTATTTTTTCTTTTTCATTTCTTTCGGAGGTTACTAGAGGACCATGAATTATTGAAGTTTACATGGTGGAAATGTGTTTTTCAGCAGTCCCAAAAATTTTCTATGACATTGTCGGGAAACGTCGTACTTTTATAATCAAGTAATTAAGATAAACAAATGGGTTTCCCAATAACCATGAAAAATATGATAGGTATCTTGTCGGGAATTTAAACAGTTACACTAGTACACTTTACTTTAATTTGTATAAAATTTCATAATTAAAGAATATAAACAATATTGGAAAAAATGACATCCTAACTGAATGACAGGCGTGTCAGTGCTGGCACATGAGCATTTTTGGCAACACATATCTTCAAAGATAAAAAACTTCATAATTAAAATATTTGTCTCTCATGATGGCCAGCATTGGTTATTATAATAAACTTTTTGTTTTTGTATTTTAAATGGCATTAATTAACAATTAACTTAACTTAACAAAAACATTCCAATTTTTCAGATTCTACTCTACCCACTAAAATTGTTTCCATTTTTCCGAATTTTCATGAAAAGTAAGGTTCAAATTGCTCATAAACAGGGACAATTAATATCCATTTTGGAAACGGCAGTTACTTTCTTCACGTTGGTTTACAAACCTTTTCTTAATAATCTTGTCTATACTTATTGGATTTTTTTTTAAATTGTTTGTGTTGTGACTGTGCGTTATAATAAGCTAATAAGTTCTCTTTGTCGCATTGATTTTTACCAATATGTACTTTTATTTTTCTTCCGTTGTATAAATGCTTAAAAGTTCCGGTTCATACATAATCGTTAATGTCTAAAACAGGACGCACTCGAAACCAATTGGAATTCGAAAGTTTTTGCGTTTTGTTGAAAAAAACAATTTATCCTCGGCCTTTTAAAAAAATACTCCTGCAAAATTACCGTTAGCAGAGGAAATCCAAATATCCAGCATATCTATTATCAGCCCCAGTTCATGCAAAAATGCCTCGTTGATTCAGGTACCCCTCTACATATTAGGAGACCTATATATGTGAACTTTGTAGAGCTAAGTGTGCCAAAGAACAAAATTTGTTCGATATACTTAGAACAAAATAGTATTCTATGAATGACAAATTTTCTAAATCCCACTAAATTTAAACAAACACTATTTGTTTATATACTATATTGTACCGGTGTTATACTTATCTCTATTGTAACTTTTTGACACTGAAAGAGTATATTTTCACTAAACTTTATATGACAATCGAATTTCTTTTAAGTAGGTACTTTTCTATTGATGTTTAGTGCAGTCCTTAATTTTGTGTAGAATAGGAAATAAAGTCCTAGAGAAATCCACTTCGCCGTTTATTTTTACAAAGGTTTAGTTTAATAAATTAGAGATAAGCTAAAACACGACCTGAAGAATAATTTTCTCAGATGTCGATATTTGTGGCCGACGAGGTCTAACAATCGACCCCAGTTACCTAATTAACACAAACTTTTTTAAAACCTTGAAGATATTGCTAAAAGATTGACTAATATTTTATTAGAAAGTATTGTTGTACTTTACAGTAACTTATAAATGCTTTGAACTATCGGTTACTTGTTCACCTCAGTCTTTACTCGGTTACTTCGGCACGTTGACGTCCGCTGCAATTTTTGAATGTGTTGGAGTTTTTATAAGGACAGGGTCTGGCTGAACAATTTCGAATTTAAAATGTTTAAAACAAAGTTAATTTGCAGCCATAGGGTGGCGCTCTCAATTTAATTCAAACAAAGTTATAAATACCGAACGTTGTGGATAAGCTTATTCCTAAGAATCAAAATTTAAGCAGAAAAGAATATTCGCAGTGTCCGCGTTTATCAACATTACCACAAATTTTATGAAGAGGTTTGAAGATATCCTAAATTTATAAATTGGTCACATCAGGAATTAAAAGTTGATCATCAGCACAGGGGATGAACTTAAGCACAACATTTTAACACAGTATGGAACATTGTTGAAAAACAACTTATCGTATTTCGATCATCATACCTAATCGAAAAGGCTTTCAGTGTGCTTACGAATATTTTGACAAAACAAAAAAAACGGTTTGCAAATGAACGAACACTAAGATTTAAGACTGCAACTTACGCACATTGAACCAGACTTAGCCAGATTGGTGGAAAGTCATCAAGTTCATTCCTCATGGTTACATTCAAGTTTAGCATCATAAAAATTATGAATTTAAAAAATAATTTTGGTTTTCGTTTAACGAGTTCTGGATATTGCCAAGGACCTGGGTATTACGTTTAGTTTTTTTGGTAGGTAGCTTTAACACTACATTTTTTACTTTAACAAAAGCGCTGTGAGCACCCAAGAATTGTAAAATATGCTAAATTCATAAAATTTGTATTGCCAATCAGTCGCTAATAATTAGAACACCAAATGCAGTTTAAAATATTATCTAATATCGTCAATTTTTTCGTTTTCAAATAAGCTCAGAAATGAGTTTCTATGTATAATTTTTTGAAGTTTTCTGTACTATATTTTTTAATTTTCAGGTAGGCTGAACCTTTTTTAACTGTATTAATTTGTTTCGTGGTGATTATTTCACAGTTAGCAAGTGTTGTACATTATTCCGTATTATGCCGTATACAACTATATCTTCTGTCAACGTAAGGTTTACCAAGAATTAAAGCTATACAATGTAGCTTCCAAGATTTGTCTATTGTTTTCAAGTTTTTTTTTTATTTGTTAGGCTATAATTTTGACATGCATTCTTAATAATAATATTCAGTGTTCCGTAATGAATGCACTTAAAACAGTCCAATTTTAAACTCGTGGAAATCCATATTGAATCAAATATTACTTAGTAAAATTTTGAGAGAGTTAAGTTTTAAAGTTTAGTTATCGTTATTATTATTATCGTTTATAGCCTAAGTTGTTTTTGAAATATAGGCAGTGAAGATGAGGATTTCAAGAAATTCTATTTTTTTAACATAAGCTAGTTGTAACCTATGCCATGCCATAACTTTCTCGCAGTTATGTTTTGTTAGTTTTTTTTTGAAACATTATTAAAGAGAGATGATTTATTAACAAAATATATACTACATATAGTTCGAATAAATATAAATCTTTACAGAAATCTATAAATCTAATATAACAGAAAAACTGGTCCCAAATTGAAGTTGTATACCTAAAAACAGTTTGGGCCACACTGTACAATAATGTTAATGCAATAATTTCACTTAGTTAATGCTTTATTGTTATTATTATTATCTATAACGCTTTTAGGCAGAGAATGGTAAATTGTTTTCATATCCTTCATCGATCGCATACACGTTATAACTAAATTGTTATTTAATTATTTTAGACGAATTTATTAATTTTCATTTTAAATGATGTGCCTGTCTGAGAAAGTTTATACACAAAAAACAACCACAGTTCCTTGAAGAATTCAACAACTAACGTGGCCGCTGACAGACAGTCAATAAGTTTAAATGTGGAATGTTAACTGCAGTATTTTCTCAAAATATGCCTAGATCTCTTTAAATGGTGTGGAAAAATGAGTTAAGTGTGTGGAAATCGTTGTTTAGAAAAAAAATGGCGCAACCAATTTTTACAGTACTAGAGCGTCCATATTTTAACTAATCCATTTAATAAACTGTGGTAGGGCCACAATATTTTCTAATAGCTATAAGCTGATAAACGTAAAAATACCATGACTGAAATCTACCGCTTCCAAACCAGTGACTAAGGTGCTTGAAATGTTCCTCGCGCTCGATCATTCGGAAATTCGGTATTTTGGAGTAGGGAGTAGAAAAATGTATTTATTCAGCATACAAAACTATATCAATTTTAACGTCTTTCTCAGTTTTGGGAATGTCCGGCAACACCTGTTCCTTAAAAGTCACAGCCACGGTGGATGGCGGATTTTGTTGAATCGTCTTACATTTGGTCAAGAAGGCGTCATAATACCCACCGCCATGGCCCATTCGAAAACCTTCCTTTGTAAATGCCACACCCGGAATAATTATAAGATCCAAACCACCTACAAATTTAGAAAGTTCGCCGGATGCTTTTGATATTTCGAGAAAACGGGAATTAGGAATTTGCTGAAAATGCCGCTAGGATCCAAAAATGTCAAATGCTTCCCTCTAGCGGTTTTCATAAGCATAATCAGAAACTTTATTAGATAGGAATATTTTACCAAAATAATCGGAAATTGATTTTGGGAGCAGAAAATGGAACACAGGCTATAATTAAAAAAAAGTAGTAGATAGAGAAAATAACAAATTAAAGTTTTTATTTTTCGAGTCAAGCGGCAATATTGTAATTGATGAACCTATTTTGAATCGATAGAGCAAAGTAAACCAATCAAATTTTTACTAAACCCCTACCACCCGCCTCATGTAAAATGTTCCACAGAGAGACCTGGTATAAATCATAACCTACCCGTTTCCAACGCATCTTCTCTTTGTTCCTTTAAAGCAGGTTGTTTAATGTTCCATTTGGTAAGAGGTAGGTTTTCCCAGTCGTCCATGGAGTACAATCGTACCATTTGCATGCCAGCTTTGCTGTATCTGCGAAAACAAAATAAAAACATTGAGTTACAGAATCAGTATTTCTATTTCAAACAAAACGTGAAACTAGAGAAATACATAAAATGTAAAAAATAAAGAAACATAGTTTTGCATAAACATCGACCTAAGAGTTCGATTCTGAAGAAAAATGTATGTTTAGTGTTTCTGCTTTTTCCGAGACTTATAATAGGCATTTATTAAACAATTTGATTCAATATGCATTTTTTATGGTACAACTCAGTTCTATTTCTCGGGTTCCAATTTGAAATGATCTACTACAAACTTAAGCAGCGGAATTAGAATTAACAATAAAAAACTGCTAATATTATTCCTAATTGATTCGACCCATTTAAAATTTAATAGATACTATTCTCCTTCTCTCTATTGCTAAACAAAATCTAATGTACCTCAAAACTTCATTTTATTGACGTTTAATGGCTATAGAGGCGTGTCTAGGAATAATAATGTTTAAATTTCGATATGATTCTACGAAAAAGCGATATATAAAAGAACAATTGCACTACCGGGCGAGAACGCACTCTTATGCGCATAGCAAGTTTACACAAAAAAGCATTAATTTATTATTACTTTGTAAGTACTCGCGCAATTAAAATTTCTTACCTTGGAACAAAGCAAGTTTTACCATCTTCAAATATCTTTCGTACCACAGGTTCAGTGTTGATCTCGTCTTCGGTGCTTAAAAATACGGAAACTCTTTGGCTAGTTTGAAAAACGGGAAGAGCAAGCAACTAAAAAAAAAATATTTTGTTGTAAGCGGAAGGGTCGGTGGTCGTGGCCCTGTCTATTTACTGCGCAATTGTTTGATGATGGCGTCTTATTCAAACCGATTATCAAGGAGTAAAAATGGGGACGTATGCGGTCATGGTTATGAAGGGATTTGTATATTTTAAAAAAATATAAATTTGAAGAAAGTTACTTCCTGAGTATGTTTCCGCGATCAGTTCAAAAAAAGAAGAGAAACTTTAATAAGCAACAACTTCATTTTCATATTATTGTACAGAAGCACCGCGGGTTTATGAGAAATAGGTATGATGAGTAATTTCACCACCCTTCTTTATTATGATAAATATATTGTTGTTATTTTAACATGAAACACGGGATGCATGCAAATTATTATATGAGAAACGGCTCAAGTTTATTGAGCTGAAAAAGCGTGATAACTAATAGTTTTTGAAGACTAAGTACTAAAATAATTTGGAGTGCCTAGAGGTTGTAGATTTGTATCGTAGATAAAGTTGCCTCAAACAACGGCAAACCGGGATTCGAAAGTTCTCAAGAGTCTTGCGCAGATTCTGCTTTATATTATTTGCTGAAATTCGAATGGACAAGGCATTTTTTGAATAGTTCAAGTGATAAGTATGGAAAAAAATAAATACATGGCCGTGTTTATTAAATTTTGATTTTTTTAAAAGCTATTGTAGATTTTGTTTATAGTCGACTGGATATATTACACAATTTTCTGGAGCATCGAGCGTACCAAGTCAGACGTAAACTTATTCCACTTACTCATTCCACCATTCCGCGAACTCATCATGAGTATTGTTGAGAAGAATAACGTTAGAAACTTACATAGAATTCTGCTCTTATTAATTTAAATTTTAAAATTTAAAATTTACAAGATTGTACCAATACGAGACAGTATTCTAAATTCGCCCATTATGGTTTATTTTGAAACTGTGTACAGAATGTTTTTATCTGTGTAACAACGACAATCACTTTTAAAAGGCAACAAATTCTTGTAGTTACACACAACCGAAATTTAAAGAAACACTTTCTCAAGAAACTGATTATCAGAAAAGTGTCCATTAAAATGAATTGATCTGGAGATTATTTGAGTGGAACATTTGAAAAAGAAATCAGGAATGTGAATCGCAATATATCCACTTCGAATTCGACCACGTCAGTCGCGCAAAAACTTATACTTTCTTATATCCAGAGTATTTTCTAATTGCATTTTAATAAATAAGGGGCCGATGTTTGGGTCCAAAACGAAAACTTCATATCAATATATGTCCTAAAGGTCTTAACTTTTGAGATACAGGGTCGTAAGGTTTACAAAAACAAAATATATATTTTTTTAATATATATCTATATATATATATATATATATATATATATATATATATATATATATATATATATATATATATATATATATATATATATATATATATATATATATATATGAGGAAGAGCTGAAGCGTGTATTCTTCAAGGTGAAGGGCACTCTAAACAATTTACCTACTTTCTTTATTCTACTTTTTTTTCATTTATTGATAGACAATTATGTGTTTTCTTTTTTTCTTAATAAGAATCGTTTATTATCTTGTTGTTATGTTATTTCATTAAAACTGTAAAACTGAAAAAGAACAATCTTCTAATTTATTTTCCTGAAGAACACTAGATATTTTGATTTAGATAGGTATTTTATTTTTCAAAAAAAAATACAGTGGCAACCTAATTAACCAAAGTATTATTTGTTCATAGACAGTCGGTGGCACATCATTAAATTCCTTAAAAAATTTGCATTTGCATGCATTTATGAGCAGATTTGATCTTTTAATTTTTTTTTAGTATGTCGCACGATTTTCACTTCAAAATAAAAACTAAATTCTCTACATGCTGTAATATTAACGATATTGTTATGACCATGCAGAGAAGAAGTTGTTCTTTTTTGAAAAAAATCAAGAAATTAAATTTCTTTAGAAATTATTGGAGATTGTAAGAATAATTTTTATTAAATTTATTTATTATTATTTATATAATAAAATTTATAAAATCAGTGGCATACCATCAATGTCTGCCAAAATAGACGGGTGAAATTCCGTACTCTCGCCACTAGTGTATTTTCAAAAAAAAATTGATACACTAAATAATGCCTTCATTAAACATCTGAAGTGGTATTCCCGCTACTAAAAAAAATATTTTATTTTTGAAAATTTTTACCACCCTGTATCTTAAAAGTTAAGACGTTTAGGACATATTTTCATATGAAGTTTTCTTTTTAAAAGGGACTCGAAAACCGCCCCCTTAATTACTGTCATTCAATTAGAAAACACCCTGTATAGAAAAAAAAAATCTGTTGAAGAGTTAAGTTCCACTCATGTAGCGTGGCACTTAACTGGAAATAAAGTAATGAAAAATATTGCAAAGCCAGTGCATTCAATATTATTAAATATTATTAAGTTAATAAATTAAGGCAAACTAAAAAAGGTAAATTAAGTAGGTAATTAGTTAAAGGGATTTCATTCCTTTCAGAATTTAGTAAAGCAAAAAATGCCCCCTAACTCTAAATGAGGGATTCTTCAAGCCATACTAGGAAAAATAAAGAATTTAGTGACGCAAGAAATGCCCCATAACACTAAATACATTCTTCAAGCGAAAAAAGAAAATTTTTGATTCAATTGCCTTGGAGTAAATAAGAGCTACCAATGGAAATTTTATCACAATGCTGAATATGAATTAGTTTACATAAAAGGACCTGAATATAATCCAATATTATCGAAAACAGTTCAAGACTGAAAATGCAAATATCCGATATCATACAGCAAATATGATACATCTGGTAAGCTTTTTCAAACAAATTATTAGAAAGGAAAATTCGAAACTTATATACTAATTTTTGGTACGAAAGAATTCGACTCATAGTATAAGAATACTCCTGTCACAGAACAAATGAACTATATAAATTCATTAAATTTTTGGCTAATTTTCACTTCATCTGAGGCGGTCAAAATAACAAACAATTCGAACTGAGTGGCCGCTCTAACTGAATTAACAGTTAAAATATAAGTTATCCAAAACTAAATATATTTGTTCTACTAATTTCAAAAAAGCAATTTTTGAACTTTTAAACGAATGAGGAACCACTAAGCATATTTGGGCACTTTTCACTAGAAATAATTATGAATGAGCAAAATAAAAAATTTTAAAATATTTGTAAGATATTGCCCCAAATGTTAACCCACTTGGGTGATTATGAGAAACAAGTAGAAAGATATACCTAATATCGTATAATACGTATATGTACTTGCCTTGCGTAATACGATCTTAGATTGTCGTTGCTTTTCTTCCGTACTCAACGTGGAGACTTTATTTTGAATGTCTTGTCGTAAAGCAGCTTTGGCTGCTTGGATGCTAGCCATTACTGCAGAAATATACTTTTTGGCATTAATTGTTAAATTACAATCAAATCGAAAAAGTCCCACCATTGATATGTGATAGCAAGAGTAAATATTTTGCGCATAACACGAAAAGTTCAAAAGTTCATCAAACTGTTAAATAACATGTTTATTTAAAGCAGTAGTTTAAATTTTATTATAAAATGTGCTCAGACACAAATAACCATCTTGATGAAGCAGTAGAGTAATCAAAACCGGTAAAAAACGATACTCTAAAAAAATATTTTTGCAATTTTCTTGTAACCTTACAGAACGGCTTTAAATTTGTAAATTGTTACCTTGTAAATAAAACGTATTCTGTTTTTGTATTTCTACAGACTGATATAATTAAACATTCGGTTACAAAGATTTCCTATTCACTATTAAAAATAGTGGCAGTGTTTTGAAACTGGTTGTTAAATCAAAATGTTCAAAAATTTTGTGCTGAGAGGCATGCGCAGTTAGCTTCAGTACATTCGACTGTTAGTTTTGAATTTTGAAATTTTACAAAATGATCGTTATTCAAAATATTAAAAAAATTAATTAAAAAAAAATAACAGACATGTAATATTTGCGAACTCCAGCAAGGTCATAAAAACTTACTGCTGTCCATCTTTTCTTTTTTTAATTTCGAAGCATTGCAATGATCTCAGGTTGCAATACAGCAATACTTCCAGTAACGTTGGATACAACTCTAGAAACTGTTGACTCAGATACATTAAACTGACATGGATGTAAAGGATATGATCCAATCGCGATGAATTGAAGCGCTATCAAAATTCGATTTATTTTTTACAATTGTACAATTGTTGGTTACAATTATCAGTCGGCTCCAAAAAATTTTGCAACATGTGAGCAAGTTCTTGTACATTATTTTTAGATATTCTTATTAGTAGGGCTTCTTCGCTACTGCTTGAATCTGAATTGGAACTGTTCAACAAGTAGTGAATGTTAGCTGTATCCATTATTGAAAAAACCAATTCCAAGAAAAGCGCATAAAAGCAAACCAGACTATATAAAAGAAATAAGAAAAGGGCTCAAACAAAACAACTTTACAATGAATGAATGAAGACATCCATTGAATGATTAGAATTTCTTATTATCAGCGTAATAAATCTTTTAACAGGTCAAAATTCATCTAACAAAGTGTCAGACGATCTAACCGACCGATAGCGCCTAATTAGGTGGATACCGAAAATAGATTTAACAAAATGTTTTGAAATTGTCACGGGAATAAATATTTATCAGATGTTGCTGCATACGGCCCTGCGTCAACGTCAAATTGTAAGCATTCCAAATTTCAAATTGTACATAGCTGTTACGAAGAAACTATAATAGTGAAAGCAACGAAACTTGACCTACTCATCGGCAACCCACCATACACGTCGATATAAGTGGAAGTGTTTAAAACTGAAATACCCATTTATGAAAAATATGCGGACTAATTTTAAGAGATCGTTCTGATTTTAAAACGGGTGCTAAAATTATTGAAAACTGAATTATCCGAATCCGAACATTTTTACTTTAATCTTAAATGAAACCCTATAGAACTTTTTGGAAAAGAACCAGAGAATAGGTTAGCCAGAATGGCAGGTAGCCATTAGACATACTCACCCATACTAGTTAAAACCATTATACAGACTGCAATAAAATGAAACAACCATAACAGAATATTCTATGAGACGCCATGCTTAATTCGAACCACAGATAAAACAGGAAATTGGAAATTCGACCAATAGGGTTGTGTCAATGATATTTCCAAAAAATATTCTGTGGACATCGAGACACGAACTTTTGACGGAGATTTTAAGTGTTATCGTCCGTGAAGATTATCGAATACTGTGCCTGGCATGGTCGTGTCACTTATGCCTGCAGTTCGTATTTCGATGTAGATTGGTATGGTCGTGCTGTGATTCGTGTGAGCGGGGAGGATCGATGGATATGTAGGCTTTGTTTTCATTTTGTATACAACAGGTAAATTGTTTGAGACTGTAGTTTTGATTTCCAAAACTTTTGAAACTAGTAAATTGGATTGGGTATTTTTAAAATGTGCAAATATTCCTGTTTTTCATTAAATTGACTGTTATTACCCAAAAACTCATTCCACCAAGAACGTAAATTAAACGCTGCCCTTTAGTTTTTAAGGTAGTCCTGACTCAATAAACATTGAAAAATTATGGTTATTAAACAGGTTAATTTTGAAATTGGCATTATAATTAAAAATTTACATTAGAAAAAGTTATTATTGTAACCAATTGTAACCCTTTGACCAAACCAGGGAATTTAATTTTTTTTCACATAGTTAATATCGTCAAAATAATACATATCGCGCTAAATTATTTGCAGAAATTCTATGTAAACTATTGTGTTAATATGTTCCATTATCATTTTTTAGAAATGTATGCACGTGGTGTTTATTCAAAATAGAAATTTGGACAAGGTGACTTTCTGTAACCCCAATAGGTACTTTTTATTTTTGGCAGTGGACAATACTTCTAGTTTATTGTTATATTTTTGTCTCTTTTTAGTTTTAAAAAAACTGGAGTATAATTTGTCAGTATGCTGACGACACGCACACAAAATAACCTAAATTGTTTCATCAACACAAACTAAACATGTTTAATTCATCCTTAAATACTATTTCATTCATTACCAGCGACGACCTATACTCCGGACAACGCATCTTGCCTGATGCGATTGAACTTTATATTTGATGCAGATCGTCTCAAAAAAATAGTTTAATATTTGGTATTGAAAAACAGATTGAATATATTTATTTTATCTTTCCGGTTGCGTGATAAGTTGTTCGATTTTCGATACGTATCTGGTAAATTCTTCTAAATCTTCAATAGTCACATCGAGAGGGGGTGACCCTATCTTACTCGATCAAGACAATTGATTTGTTTTTGTTTATAGACGAAAATTGTGGATATCTAATCGAACTCAACGGGAGTAGATTTCGCACACGTGTCGGTTGAGTGCTTTGATATGTCTGGTTTTGGACGAACACTCTAAATTAAGTTCTCATTAAAATGATATGTCATGTGATATTTCGATTCAGCTAGCTAAAAAGGTCGCCACAAAAACAAAAACTAACTCGAAAATTTCCAGACATTTCAACATATGATTTTCGCGGCTCCGCTCCGTCGTTTCCACCCACCCCCCATATATATGCGATGTCGCCGTAAACAATATGAAATTTACACGCACATTTTGTGCAACCCAATCGACATTGCGAGCACATTTTTTAAAATAAAATTTTCTCTATCTTTTTTATAGGAGATAAACTTGATGCTTCTCCCCTATTAACAAAAGAGAGTCTTATGCTCTCCGAAATTATATTCTTTGAATTGCGCACTTCGCCCACTTAACCAAACTAAAACCTACTTGTACTTGTTTGCGAAACTTTGCGCAACCAATATTAAATTTACGAAATATCAAAAATCTCAGTTTTTCCTCCAAAGCATTTTATTTACCTGTGTAGAATAATAATAATAATAATAATAATAATGCACTTTGTTTATGATATTCAGCAAACTACTGACTTTCTTAGCGAAATCAAAGTATAGACTAAATCAAAGCTGTCCACAACTAGTCTTCTTACAGCGCCCATAACCACTTGGTTTCAAGGGAGAAGGTTAAAAAAAATATTTTTTTTATAAAATAGTTTCGTGTTTTTTGTAGGTGCAATATTTTAGAGAGTCATAATTTGAGATTGCAGCAATGAACAAGGTTAAAAATATGTGAAGGAATTACTTGAGAATTTAACACCGACATATATAATAATATAGAAGAGTAGAAGAAATTGAAATAGATTGTTGTACTTTACTTAAAAAATATCAGAAAAGCACAAAAAATATTAAAAAATAACAATGATGATAATAAATAATAAAAAAAGTACATATTCTAGGATGTGATTTCGACAAAAGGTGGAGCTAACCTAAGTTAAGTTAAAAAAGGTCGTTATAAAATAACATAGAAAACCAGAAAATTCATTTTTTTCGAAATACATTTGGAAGTCATTGCGAAAGCATCAAAGGTATCCTAAATTTTTCAATATTATTATAATCACCGATTCCGACTTTGCCTTAATTCGAGTAATCATTTCCAAAGTAAAGAATGATTCAGAAAGAACCCGGATTTGAAAGGGATGTAAAATTAATTTATTTTCATAAAAAGGACAAAATTATCACACCATCCGCTTCAAATTACAATTAGAACAATTACTGTGTCCATGAAATTTACCATAACCCGAACGTTCAGATTGGTTTGGCCGAGGACATGTTGAATTATAAGAATTATATTTATAAAATAAGGGATTTTATGGTGTTAACGAATACGTAAAACCCTTACTCATAATAAATTGATATTTGTTGATAATTGCCGCGTAAACCAGTACACTTGCACTAGACCATTAACTCTTCATAATTTATAAATAATTACATGTATGGGTGTGTTAATTATTTCCCGGCAGTTTGATTTTTTTAGGGCAGATAATTTTCATATCATTCAAGGTTTTGAGATTGCAGCAATGAACAAATTCATTTTCAAAAATATGTGAAGGAATGATTTGAGAATTTAAATCAGACATATTAATTTTCAACAAAACCTGAAACTTCAGTTGTGTATGTTAGTCCTGCCTTGGTGAAATATTTAATTGTCCACCCAAGGAATAACTGGCCGCTTTTCGTAGAGTTCCTTCTCAATCAACTCTTGCAGGGTTTTTTATTGGTTTCGAGAGAATGGGTGATATTTTGAAATAATTCGTGACGCTTGTTCTATTTCTTTCTTGATTTCCCCATCCCGCCCACTTCTTTCTACCTGTTTTACTTACTCGAATGTTTGTTACTATGTTAGATATTATTAGTGATTATTATTGAGCCATCTTAGTAAAAGCACTTTGATCAGACACTTTTATGCAGTTTATACTCCGGTACACGTAGAAAATCAAATGTCAATCCTTCAAATAGGCTGGCTTAATATATGTGCATGTTTGGAACAACACACTAGTAGATATCATTCGTTAAGGAACTTATATAATAAACTAGCTAGCAGAGCTTGACTGAAACTGTTTCAGTCAAGCTCTGAAGAAGTTAACAGGATGGTTGGCGAAACGTCAGCAATTTGGACTAAGCAAAAACCGATGTAGGAGGAATCCAGAAGTTTTGTTAAAAGCAAACTGTCGCTGTGATTTCCGAGCTTACACTTTTATTAAAAAAGTCAGATAATCTGGCCTGTTTGTCTATCTTTTACTACTTTTAAGACGTGTTTTCATTTTTGCAACATTTTATAATCTCATACGCTTCCTTATCAACTTTGCGAAATTCCGGGATTGTGTTGTGTGGTAGTAAAAAAAGTATTGGTATAACAGGAACTAAATGCTACCTTGCTGGATAGCCTTTCAAAAGTCCGTGTCAAATAATAGTTAAAAAAAAGAGATGAGATCAGAATCGGCGAGCGTAGAAAATATAAATGATAATCTAGAATGTTGGGCGAGCGATGCGATTTTTCAAAGGCTGTGTCCAAGTGGTTACGGAAAATTGGGTCAGAGTTAGAGCAAGACATCGAATCCCTTTTTAAAAAGGTTAAAATACTTTATTAGTTTCTTTCAGCGGAAACGATGTATAGGGAACCGTTGGATGCCTCAAGCAAGTTCAGGCACACAGTACGTGTAGTTGGTAGCAGGATGAGTGGTAGGCCTTCATTAGATGAGATGCGGTGCCGAGTATTTCATTGTGTACACAATAAAATTAAGAAAAAATGTTCAATTCTCTCAATTAATTTGGATTTTACAAAACTTTACCAACTCTCAGCCCATAATTTTATGAATATGTAACTATTGAAAATCGCATCTAAAAAAAAACATTAAGCTTTAGAGGTATTTTGGAAGGGCGATTCTATCTAGAACAGAACAAGTTGACTCGCTACATCTCGAAAAATTTAAGCTAGTAAGTCGGCCTTGCTTTGTTATTTTAACTAGACCTAAAACTATGAGCTTAGCATTAAATAGACATAAAGTTGACCTAACTCATTACATTTTTGTGTATATATTTCGTCTTTTATGGAGATTAGCTGCATATCTTTGACTACCCACTCGACCATCGCCCATTGTGAAAAAATATTTGCAAAATTTACTGATAATTGCGTGCTAATAACATTTACGCAATTTATTTTTAAGTGCGTCACAGCTAGGATAAGCAAGTTTTTAAGTATGATGAAGTATCATCTTGTTGCTTACATTTCTCGAACCGGGGTCTAAAATAACAAATGATTACCTCGTCACTGAAGCTTTCTGATCGTATTATTCTTACCCAGACGAACTAGTTTTCTTCCACTAAAAATCTGGGTAGTAGTGCGTTTCCTGGAGTGTTTCCTTATTGTTTCCTTATGGGTGTAGTTCAAATTTATGGATTAAGTTCTTAATTAAAATCGCATTTTCCTTTTATTTAAAAATAGAAAAATATGTTCGGAGGTATGTTTCTATCGTCACACTCAAAATAACTTCCTTCTGAACCCACACAGCGCCAGCGAAGATTCTTCCACTCCTAATAGAAGTGTTGGAGCTGCGATACTGGAATATCTTTCAGCTGATTCATTACAACCATTTGAATGTTTTCGACTATCCCAAAATTATATCCCATAAGGCGATTTTCAGCTTCAAGAAGAGACTCAAGTCAGGCGAATACAGGCTGAGGAGCCACAAGATTTTTTTTTCTGGACGA